CTATCAGTCATTAGAATTCTCTGTTTAATGCATCAAATATTATTTTGTTACACACAGACTCTCTTTCATGAAATGCTTTTAATACAGATTTGACAGATTGGTAATGTTTGAAAACAGTCAGCATTTTGTTACACTTCATCAAGTTGACATGGCTGTAGATGGTTCTCTGAAGAACGTTGTTCAACCAGATAAAAACATAACCAATCAAATCCTACTGGAGTGGTTATTTGAGGTAGTAAATGATAACACCTTTATCATCACCAGTAATGAAAAAGCTGGTAGAGCCAATGTGGCTTTTCATTAGAGCTTTAGACCAGACATCTGTCTACTATGGGCAGAATCAAATTTTGGATTAGCTATCACTATGCCCAGCAAAACACCTTTGATTGAAGTAGATGAGACAAGGGATTCTGAAATCAAGGCAGAGACTCTCTTAGGATTAGCTGGTGAATGCAAATTTGCCAGAAACGCAGAGCCACAATTGTATGCCAATATGATGGGCTGTGGCTGGGTCAGTGGCAGAAATGGCTATTGAAAATCATAAATTCTTTCAACAGATCATAATATATGGAATTTATGTCACTACACAACAGATGAAGCATATTTAAATGCAATAGACCTGGACTTTAAACCGCAGACATCACATATACATAAGTATATGAAAACTACCAAAGAGCCATTTTCATGTAGGATCAGTCAACAAATTCAACATGCTCTACAGTTATGTCAATTTTTGTAAATAAGTATTCATCTCGTCCATTGTTTGACTGGTGATCCACAAATAATACTAATTGATAGATGAATTTTTGCTATTGATAATAAGACTAATAATCATAGTAGACTGTTTTAATGGTACAATTTCATACCTGTAAAAATGATAAAATGCAATACATGTATACACGTAGACAATGAATGTACATGTATATCCTGAGAGACAATTTTGCCACAATATACAACTGGATATTCTAACTGTGTCGCTATGGCTTGTAGATGAATCACTAGTAAATAAATCACATCTATAAGAGCATTGTAATTCTTGTAAGATGTCTGTTGACATTGATTTGAGTTTATTAGAGCCATCACAGTGATTGTATACATTCGATGCCGGAGTCTGGAGTCAATGAACTCCATTGAATCATTAAGTCCCAAGCAAGAGGAGAAGAGGGAGGGGGGAGAGAACAAACAGACATAATTTTATTTCCATGTGCAATGGACTGGTATGAACACTTCATCATCTGTTACTATAGAATCTGCACCAGTCCCTACTAAAGTAGGAGTATCACTAAGGGGGGCCTGTACCACTTTATCATATATAGAAGAGTATACAGGGGAGATCAGATGTAAAGTACAAGCATTAAACTATTACTGCCATTTTTATTGAATGCTTTTAAGATCAACATATATTCATTACTCCCTAACCATGAAGCCCCTTCAGTTAACAACAAATGTTTGAAGGGTATTCCCTCATTCATTATCACCTTTATTGGTAGTAACTCAAGCGAGCCATTATTCATGTAAAATGCTGGAGGGACACACTGATGTAACAAGAAAACATTCATGGAACACACCACAGTACCATTTGTATTAAATAACAAGTGGGATCAGTGTGCTTTGTGATGTTTATTGGTAATTGGTTTGTCTAGTTTATTAAGATATGTCTCTGGTGGTAGCAGGAGTGATGGCGTGCGAGTAAATGGAGAAATGGGAGAGGCTACTAGGGCAGAGAGAGAGAGATTCTGTTAACTCCAAATGATTGTAAACATGACTTTAATAATTTAAGATTAATAGAAGACTCATTATTTGAAGTAGGTAGTATCCAAATTACATTTATTATTATATTTTTATCAATTAATTGATCATGTACTAATTTCTTACTGAGAAATGAGGAAAGGAAAAAAGTGAAAGAATCCTGCTCATCCAATCAATCATGTCTTTAAAGTGACCTCAAGAGCATGCATTATTCCTTTTTCAAAGCTCTCCATTGCACCAGAACAAGACTTTTGGATGACCACACATATCTAGTAATGAATTGTCCACTGAGTTCAGCTGGTAATAACATTCAAAGAACCAGTCGTGTGCCGGCTACAATTGTAATAGTTTAAAGTTCAGAGTCAAACTTGATGGAACAAGCTACCAGTGTCAGCAAGATGTCCTTATAGTGTATGTTGGGATTTAAAAAAAGGAGAGCATATTGTCTTGTACATTGTACCTGCTTATTCTCTGCAGTTACTTACAAAAACAAGAATTTAAACAGAACAAGAAAAATAGTTGACTGATCTAAACAAGTATATACAGTGCAAGACAACTTGCTTTAACATTAAAACAAGAGTAAAAAGTATGTAGTTAAAAATGAAGTTAGAGACTAAATAATTCTAAAGTTATTTGAAAAGATTGTTTTAATTTTAAGGGTAGAGAATGGTAAATCTAATGCAAATAATAGCTCTATCAAATTATTGTTAGTTTCATCAATGACTATGGCATTGATTTTAATAATAATATTCATTACTTTTGTTCATATTAATCCCCATTATGGACTCTTTGTTTTAAGGTATAGTTTACATTATGACTGTATGCCATCAATGGATACTAAACATTGGAATAGAACTACTACTACTAATATTCCAGTGTTAATGTAATGCTAGTCCTAAATAAATAGCATTAAATTGTAAACCAACCTGAAAGACTGGCGGTTGTAAGCCGCGGCCCCAGAAAGGAGTCAAAGGACACCCTGGTGTGGGTCAAATGAGACAAGGTTCCATTCGAGTGTGCTAGCTCCTTGTATATCATAGGACACTGAACGCAACCTATTGTCAGACACTGCTGTGCTAAAAGGATGACTGACAGTCACACTGCAACACATTAAACTGTGAGTGTTTGTAAGAAAATGCATTACACACTGAGTTTCCAACCACTGTATGCTTACATGCACTTCCTGTCTTATATATTGCAGTCTTTACGCACAACACAGAAAAGAGGATGTGTGCAATTTTAAAATTAATATAATTATTGATAAAAAATGACCTTTTTGATTTATACCTTTTGGCATATGTTCATTCAAATTCAATGTGGCTGAAGAAACAACAAATTGTCTGGATGGAAAATATTTAACTCTACGATATATTTAGAAACTCTAATTGATTTCATTCAAAAATTAGTCGTATAATCATACGATCAGTTTAAACTTCTTCTAGACAAAAAATTATCAAAATGACTCAGATCACAATGAAAATTCCAATCAGCAGTCACAGTAATAAGATGCTTATCTTGGTATAAGGCTATCAGGCTAACTCTGTGATTTTCTCAGGCATGAACCAAAGGAATATCATTGTGTGTGGTCTTTCACCAAAAAATAGAAAAAAAAAGATCAAGAAGTTTTGCGTTCACTGATATAGCTCAGCAAATTACTTGCTATAGTTACATTAGCCATGCCGAAACAAAGCTAAGTGCAGGCTTTCCAAGTATCAATGGTGATGTGTCCCATTCATCATTACAAGCATTGCTTCGTGTGAGGGCCATCCAGTACTGCTACAAGTAGGCTTTCCCACATTTAGCTCAAGCAGGTACAGTAGATAAGGACACATTGTACTCCTTGACTTCTTATGCCCTTTCAGTAGGCCGGTTAGAGAAAAAATCCAAAAAAATAACATTATTTCAAAAAAACATTTTAATCATTGAAATATATACAGCAACTTGTATAAAATAGCTAGTTGTATAGGCTATGGAATAGCAGTAGCAGTGATCGTAAAGAGTATGTGGAGCATGAGTCCAAACTAACTATTGTACTGCATTTCGATTACCAGAAAAATGAAAAGATACCATCCTAATGAGTTTGTGATATCCCGTGTTCTTTCCTTATTTCTCAAGCTCAAGTAATCCTGTATGAATCCATTGGAAATGTAATGCCCGAAACAAGTATTAGCAATTTTTGAAGACATTGGTGAAGGTCAGGAAGATCACACACATCAGATTAATCCAACAAATGTTAGTATAATGAAGTAAGCAAAAAATTAAACAAGTCATGAAAGATGTGCATAATAGAGAACAGCTGATCACGTTTTTTAAAAGGTATATCATTATGTGCATCACCTTTAGGTGCTGGACAGCAGAGTAACTGGCAAAAGACTAAAGGCCTCATACACTAGGCAATGTGTTGTTTGCAACATTTGTGGTTACTTTGATCTTGTAAGCAACATGTTGCCAGAATTAGAACAGCCTTCTATTTCTTGCAACATGTTGCTTACAAGATCAAAGTAACCACAAATGTTGCTAGCAACATGTTACCTAGTGTATGGAGGCCTTAACATCATTGTTATGTACATCTGATGGACTTGAAGATAAGTTTGGTAAATTACAAATTAGTGAAATTGTGAAAATGTTATCCTCAACAACATGCCATATACCATAAGCCACAATGGATCTATAAAGTGAGTTAAGAACTAGTTCTATTTATTCACAAACTTTAATATTTGTTGTATAAAATGCTTCATCGTAGCACAAGTGACAAAGTGAGTAGAATACTTCTGAAAAAACTGGCTAAAGCAGCTTTAAAGAGACCAAGGATTAGTAACAGTAAGAAGAATACCAAATCAAGAAACTGAAGCCAAGTGCTGCCTTTCAATAACGAGCCGTTTTAAATGAAAATAACATTTGGTTGCTATAGAAATCAAATACAACCTGACCTATAGTAGTTAGGTAGAGTGTCTAACAGCCCTATAGTAGCTGAAATATGACCATGCAGCTGAAATATGACCATATGACCATATGACCTTAAGGCACATCAGACTGCAAGCATGGGAAGGTGTATGTACCATAGAATGAAACATATCAAAGCTTGCATGAAGACTACAGGTATAGTGGAGAAAGCTTGAAGAGCTGTAGACAAAGACATCATTCTTGGATATCTCAGATTGCTACTAGAGTCTGAATTACAGATGCACCAAAACAGCCAGAAAATAAACTTTGGAGCCATTTTGCTCACTAAGATGCACAAAAAAGACTACACAGTGCTGGTGTTTTAGCTACACATACTATAGGGCAGTTAGATACATATACTTGCCTAAATAAATATCTACTCTAGCAAAAATGTATTACCTCAAAATTCAAAAAGAATACATTGTACACATTACAAAATCATCAAGTACATAAATTTTCCCAAATTTTGCAACATAAGGAGTCACTCGCAAAATTAAGATAAGCAAAAATTCATCTTAGCACATGGGTATACACATATAATTAATTTTTTTACTCTTAAAATTATTACAAAAATGGTAGCACTGAAAGCATTTCACAAAAAATTGGCCTTGCAAACTTCTGCACATCCCCACTTGCAAAAATTTATCCCATCAAAAATTTCCGCGTATAGGGCAAGACTCTTTGGAAACATTTAGCCGTACACAAATTCCCAGAAGCACGTGTATACAACAGTTACAGTTATTACAGGTCTATTAATATCTAAAGTACCTTCTTCCTTATCAATTTATTCACACTTGTCATCAAATCCATTCTTCATAATCTCAGTTGGACATGGATGCTTCACTCATTCTTGCCATTCCATCAGGACTGTTACCATTCTATGTTTCTTTGTTTCTAAAATTTTAATAATAATAGTAATAATAATAATAATAATAATAATAAACTCAAACATAAAGACTATTATAGCCACCTAAAGAGCCAAATTATTATCTGCCCAGGTTGACACTGATGTTGATGTTAAAAATATAATCACAAATTATTAAGTTTTTGCCAATAGTTAGTGTATTGGCAAAAAGACTTTAAATTCAGTAAAGCACTTAATCAGTATGTTTAATGTCACATGCAATAATGGTTATCACATCATTCTCATTAAGTTAGTTTTATTTTCTATCATGACTGTACCGTTATGCTTCATCAATGAACTTTGATGTCTCTAGCTTGAATGTCTCTACCATGAGGACAGTCCTCCTTTGTTCTGTGGTTGGTTTGGCTCTTTCAAGTACTTCTGTGTCATTAGGAGCTAGGACGCCTGTGACACGCTGCTGAGGTATTAACGAACAAAATTAGCCACTTAAATATGCCAAAACTACAAAACAACAGAAATACATGTACTAAATAACCTAAACACTGGGGTCGAACTTACTTTCAAAGAAGTGTGGACTGTGTGGATGAGGGGCGAGACTAGGATTTTGTCCACCTTCTCTTTAGTCTCGCGTACGCGAGACTACCTTCTCTGCCCAAGTCCCCGTGACTCTGAGCTGCATGGACATGTTACCACGTGATTCTATTGCGCAATAAATTTGCGCATGCGTATTACGCTCACCCTCCAAAAAAAGAATTCACAATGCTATTGTTTCATTATTGCAGCCCATAGAAAGCCTCAGAATTAGCTGACATCAGAATCATACTTTAGGTCATCACATTCACTTTCTTCAGCATCAAAATCAAAATTATTATTATTGTAGTGTACAAGTACATGAAATTATCTGCATTATTTTTTGCTATTATAGGCTTATTTATATATAGAGTCAATGACGTGAACACAATGAAATACACAATTGCATGTACATAATAACTTATAAAAGTAAAAATAAGTTGAGCATCCACACACAGTCTACAAGTAAACTCAATAATAATAAAGAGCAAACTCAAATAACAAAAGAATACTGAGAGAGAATCAGTTTAGAGAAAGAGCTCTACTCTCATTCAATCTGTAGATTTCTACTTTCAACAATAACAAACAGTACAAAAGCAAAAAACCACGAACAAAATAGAAACACTAGTTTGTTATTCAATTAATCAAATATTCCATTATAAAATGAACGAAATATTTAAATAGCAGTAAGCATTTTTGTCAGTGAAAAATTTTAGTTCAGTGAATTTTTAGGCATATTGGTGAAATTTAAATTTTGCTGCATGTGAATTTATAACAGACATAGCATTAATGACAAAAATAAAGTTAAGATTTCGACTGAAAAACATTACAAGTTACCATAACAATTAATAAATTTATCTTCTTCATTGCTTCTTCTACTTTACTATTTATTAGTGGTTTTTGAAGCATCCCATGAAGTTAAAACACACAATAATACAAATTATAATTGATGTGTTTTATAACTGATCTATTATTCTTGCTTTGCTTCCAGGTCTAAAATTTGTTTTCAGTTTATAGACATGTATAGTGTGTGCATTTATGCATATGCTTTCCCATACATTTCTCCTATACATGTACATATTAGAAAAATAACAATAAGGATTAGCAAAGCAATCTGCCCACACTTTTCAAAATTGTAGCATGCATTGCACAGGAGACTATTTTTTGGGTAATTTGGCAGCAAGATAATCAAGATACTGTCTCATGCTTTTCTAAAGGTAAAGAATTAGCTATGCATGGAAGGTGGTGCAAGCAATTATTGTACATGTATATGAGTTTAATTATGTTATCAATTTTTGGAAAGATCACCAATAATGATAGTAATAATAGAGTTTGAAGACTTACTGATCTTTTGTTTTGCATTCTTAAAATTCTTTTTAGTCACAAACTGATATAAACGACTGTAGTCATCCCTAGTATAGCTACATCAGGGGGTGACAACAAAGGTATAAAAGTACATACATTTACATAAGATGTACATATACTTGTCTAATTAGTAGATAAGTAAAGATA